AGTAAGCCCCAACCGGAACCTTGAAAAATACCCAACCAAAAAAAATTAAGCGCTTTTTATCGGTGACAAGAATCGAACATCGGACGAGCCAACCAACCGATAGCTGTTTTTACATAATCGAAAGACCAAAAAAAAACAAAAAATGAATCGCATCCGAAACGTGTTGTATCTGCCGGAAAAAGGGGTCAATTATACATAGATATCATTATCCAGTCAATGGGAGAGTCTAGCAGTAGCGCTACAGATTGGAGCTTGAAATGTATGCCACCGATAAACGGGGGTGGCGGCACTACATGTTCGGTTCGGTTCCACCCCCCAGAACAAAGGCCCTGACAGATAGTGCCAGATATGAGGCACAGATACTCGCAACTCGTACGATTGTGGGGAGTGGATTCCGCTGGTGCTTATTCATCTATCTTCCACGTTTGTTGCACTTTGTAATTCTTGAAAAATTAAAAGCAGGAAAAAACAAAGATGCATACATATGTACATATGTATGTATGTACATATGCACATGCATATAAGAGGCGAGCGAGAAAACTGTTTACAAAATCGATTTTTATTGGGCCGCCAACAAATAGAATTCAGCACTTGAATTGCCTTTGTTTGATGTTATCGCCTGATAAGACCCCGGATCGCATCGCACTACTGGAAGCGGGAAAAACGTATTCCTATACCCTGACTGATGGTATACTCGTACCTATGCATAGTATAATTATGGTGCACAGATAGGGCAGAATTCTCAACTTTATAAAGAATATAACGTTTTTATCTATCTTCTGGATCATAGAAGGCCGACATAGCCTCTCTGACCAGATACACTTATTTGTGTTCCTTTCTTAATAAGAACCCACAAGATCGGATCATTATATAGTATGTCTGTAGTTGTCCCCAAATCGATCATAACCAAGGCAAATGTGATTGAATCGATAAGCAATAAGCATTTCTTTATGAGAATTTTATCATAAGATAAACTGAAAGGGTATGTGAAGCTTCGGTCAACGAAGCCTGGTATTTTTTTCTAGTTTTTTTATAGTGTGCTCTCCGCTTAGTCATGGGTTGAATGAGGGTGGAGAGGGCGTGCGTGATCATAGCTAAAGAATTTCCTGTTGACAATTTAATTTCGTTTCGAAAGCGCTGATGCAGTCCCATGGAGTATCCTTAACGCTGGAGATCCAACCGCTGGAGTATACCTAATTTTGTGCTGGCAACCGCTTTGCCTGCCCGCTCTCCTGTTTCATCATTTTGTGGCTGTTCCCTTGCACGGGCTCCACTCCTGATCACCCACTCTCTGCTCCTCCCGATCCAAACCACACCACTCTCATCAGACTCATCTGATCCCTCACTCTCTCTCCCTCTGTCATTGCCTGCGCGCGTGTGTGTCTGTCTGTGTGTTTGTGTGGGCTTATTCAAACGCAGACAGCACGGCGGCAGCGTTGGTCAGGCCCCAACCAGAGGCCCTCCTTCGCTTCAGAGCTACCCTCCACCTCTCCGACACCTCTCCTCTCGTCCAGAACTACTCCGTCGGAGCCCTATAGTCTCGCCCGATCAGAGATCATAAGTGCCCCAGCACGTCGTTTGGCTGTGCCTTCGTCTTCGTTGCTGACTGGCGCGCCCTCTCCACCTTTTTTTTCCCCTTTCTCCCCTTTTCCAACTTACCCGTTTCCCACTTTAGTTGTTGCATACCCTATTGCAAAGGGGTACTATCATTTTGATTAAATATTTGTCGTGCAAGGAAGGTATAAACTTTGATTTAGTGCACGGGAAAACAGTGGTAACCGTACAGAACAACATCGGATACATTATATGTAACATATTAAAGGGCTGCAGTAGGAAGGGTATCTAGAGCTTCGATCATTGGCATAAGTCTATCTCTGTTTTTGTTATTTTTGTTTTCAACTTTTTAATCAATTCATGGGCCTGTCGGTCCGTCCGTTTGTCTGTCCGTCTGTCGGTCTGTCTGTCTCCACACATCCATGTGTGTGCCCCGTGGGTGTCGGTGTGTGTGTGTGCATCTATTGTGTGTATGGGTCTTCGATTTGGACGTTACCTTTTTTTTATATTCAATTTTTATCTCTTTGCCTTCGTCTTTTCCGTTTTTTTTTTACCTCCACTTCTGCTTCTTCTTAATCTTCTTCTTCTTCGCCTTAGTTTTTTTTTTTGTTTTGTTTTTGATAAATCGATTTAGAAGCCGACGGGGTCTAAAAAAAAGAGGAATTCTTTTGATTTTCATTTTCAACTCACACACACACACACATGCACACGTGTACACCTACTGTTGTTGTTGCTTTTGAAGTTTTTTTGTTGTATCTTTAATTTTGTTTTCGGCATATTTTCGGTTGATTTTTTGTTGTTGTTTTTTGTTTTACTGGGAAATGCATTTCAAAAGTATTCCCTTTTTCCAGGCGCTCCACTGTCACAGGCTCCAATTCCACACCATTCTATCCCACTCCACTATCCCTTTCTGCGCACCAGAACCGCCATTCCATTTCATTCCAGACAATGCGTCGTCTTCGTGGCCCTGCCGTTGGTGAAGATGTGGTGTTAAGGCACAGTGGGCTGCAGGGGGTTGATGTACAGTGCGATGCGATGGGTGGCGCAGGAACAGTGGGGTGAGAAGTCCACGAGCAATGGGATTGTGAGTGCAAAAGCAATGGAATGGGGAATGCAGAGTGGGAGCTCATGCACAGTGGGGTATGGGTTGGGCTGCAGAAAAAATCTCGTTATAGCGATGTGAACAGTGCAAACCATGTTGAACAGTGTAAAGCTCTGCTCTTCGTGAGTGATGGGGCATGAGCCAGAGATCTATCATCGGTCCGATCGCAGCCATCGGTCAGACGAGGGATGAGGTGAGTCAATGCTATCATTGGCATCCATTCATCTCGCTCGCTCCCCCTTTGGGTTATCGCACGCGCAAAATGATGTTGAAAACACTTTTTTTATATCATAATTTTAGCTGGTTCTATGAATTTGCATACACACGCAACTAAAATCGGCCCACTGTCAGGCAGCTTCAGTGGCAGCCTCCGCACACCAAACACACACACACAACACCACACACACAAACACACTGAGAAGGAGAGGAAGAGAGATCTCTGCATATGTGTTTCATTCATGAATTCCAGTTGACGACGACGACGGCAGCAGCGACGCGCAGATTTCAGTGAAAGAAGGAGAAGGAGAAGAAGTAGCAGAGGCCGAGGAGACCTTTTTCGTTTGTCATTTGCAACAAGTGCGGGACTTCTCATCGTTTTGGTTGCTGCTGCATTTATTGCATGGCTGCTGCGTGGCTATGCCCTTTTTTTGTCTTTGAGCTTAGACAGGGTGGCGGCGGCGGCAACGTCGACAGAAATAAGCTATCGCTGTATATGTACATATGTATGTATGTATGTTAATATGTATGTGTATATGTATGTATGCACCCACGGCCGCCAACAAAAACTGCTGTACATATAAAAAATGCAACGCTGTTTGCTGCATTCAACAGTTGATTCTCAGTGAGGGCGAGAGAGCGCGCTAGTCTGAGTAAGAGCGCGTGCACGAACGAGAGACAGAGAGAGACATGCGCACCCCCACCCCCCTTTGGACCGGTAATGCTCAACAAGTTCATTTGACGATCTGTTGCGTCGCTCTGTCGCCTCGTCAGTCGTTGTCGCCGTGTTGTTGTTAATCGAATTGTGGAGGGGGTTGCGCCGGGGTAGGCGGGACGGCACAGAGCGGCACACTCGGCAGGGCCCTAATGCCAGTGCCAGTGCCAGAATGTCTGGCAGCCACGACTCTGGCACACACTTAGGCAGTCGTACATGCACACACATACATATGTACTTATGTATGTATTTGGATGTGGCTGGCAGAGTTAGCAGCAGCAGCAGCACCAGCAACCGCAGTCCCGCAAACGTGGTGTGCTGTCGTCGCAGCACAGTGGGGCAATGCCGAATGAAAATGGTATTTTGAAAGAAACAACACTTGGGGAGGGATATTTTAAAATAAATTAAAGAAATTATTGGCATTATTAGCAATACAAATAAATGTATGTATTAAATAAACAATATATTTGATATATGTATGTATTAGTGTTCTTTATAAATTACACGATCTAGAAGCAGGTATTCTTGTTCCTGTGTTTCTGCCACGACAATGCCCTTGTCTAACTCCTCTGCGCATGTCATTTGCTCCACGGTGCGCTTGTCGGGTTAGTCAGTGAGGCGACGACTGCGTCGCCAGGGGGGCTAGGCACGGTTGTCGGTGGCGGGGGGCGCATCGGGCTTGGGGACGGGGTAGAGCTGGTTCCGTCCGTCCCCTTCTGTCCATTCCGACCGGGGCGCAACCAGCAGCGCGCTCACAAAAGCGCCGCGCTGCCGCTCCGACAAGAACGGGTATTGGTACGGGTCTCGTCTCTCTCATACAAATGCACACGAGTACACACATACACACTCATACAGTGGCGCAGACACCTCGCCGACGATTGTCGTCAGTTTGTCTGCAACGCTCAGCGCCGTGGTCTTGCATTGTTGTTGCTGCAGCATATTGGAACTGGCTCTGGGCTCTGGCTCCTCCGCCGTTAGAGAGGCGACCGCCGCCGCCGCCAAGTGTCTGCTGACACTCGTTCTCACTCACGACGACGACTCGTTCTCACTCACACACACATGCACACACAGGTGCTGTTGATGAGCTATTAGAACGCAGATACAACGACACTCAAAAACACAGACACACACACACACACACACACACCCACCCGGTGAGGCAAAAGGCAGGCAGCAGACCCAGACTGAGCGTCGTGAGTTTCGTTTCGTGTAGTGTCCGTGTCCGTGTCGTCTCGTATCGCATCGTTCGCCCGTTTTCATTTGGTTTCATTCTGGTGTGCCCGGCCGCCTGTGTGCGCGAGTGTGAGTGAACCAGCAAGAGCCAGCGTAGCAGCAGCGGCAGCGGCAGCAGCAGCGCAACGCCGGCAGAGGCATCCGCCGACATACACAGCAGCGAACTGCCGTCGAGCCGAGCCAGTCTAGAACGTATCTTTGAAGTAGAACGCTGAGGGCAGAACAATTGTGTTTTGGATTCCTTGCCGTGCGGATCGCGAGTTATGAAAGCGCAGCAGCAGTAGTAGAGTGGCAGTAGCAGTAACAGCCCATAGCCATAGCCATATAGCAGCAGCAGCACTCGAGCAGCATTCAAAAAGAACAGCAGCGAAACAGCTCAAAACTGAAATCCAAACTCAGAAACAGCGCCATCGTCGTTCGAGCAGCACGCAGCAGCAAAAAGCAAAAAATAAATTATAAAATAACTATACAACAACAACAACAAAAAAAACAAAAAGAAACCAACACTAAACACTGTCTAACAAAACTGCTAAACTGCTGAACCAAAGGCTAAAAACGTATATAGTTTTTTGTGTGAAATCAATATAACTATTATTATTTTTTTTTTACTGTGTGTTTTTTTACGGAACTTTTTCCCGCGTGTAAGTTGTTGGCTTACACACTCTGTGGGGTTAACCTGTGTGTGCGAGAGAGCGGACGGACGTCGCTGTCAATGTGAACGTCGTTCGTCGTCGTCGTCATCGTCAATCGTTGTCGTTGTCGCAGTCTCAGTCGCCGTGGGCGCCTTAGGGGCCAGGCCAGACCAGAGACCAGGGCTGCCGGATCGCGAGTTATGAAAGCGCAGGCGTCGCACGCATGTAGCAGCATTGGCTACAGCAACAACAGCAACAACAGCAACAAGAGCAACAAAAGCAACAGCTCCAATACCAACACCAATACCAACAAAGCCTTCTGATACAATCAAACCCATATACAAAGTAACTGGAAAGAGAGAGAGAGAGGGAGAAAGAGATATATCTATATTTTTGATAGAAACAGTTTTACACGAAACCGAGCACCCAACATCAAACCAAAATGGATACCAGCGAACAAAGTTCGATCATCAATGGATCATCGGGAGTAGGAGGAGTGCAGAAGCGACAGTCGCAGTCGCAGTCCCAGCAGAAGGATCAGTCCGAGCCGAACAACAACAGCTCCTCGGGCAGCCCCAAAATGGGCTCTCGACGCATCTTTACGCCCCACTTTAAGCTGCAGGTTCTGGAATCGTATCGCAATGACAATGACTGCAAGGGCAACCAGCGGGCCACCGCCCGCAAGTACAACATCCATCGCCGCCAGATCCAAAAGTGGCTGCAATGTGAACCCAATCTTCGCTCCTCGGTGGCAAACAATCAGCACCAGCACCAGCATCAGCAGCAGCAGCAGCAACAGCAGCAGCACCAGCAACAGCAGCAGCACCATCAACAGCAGTCGGTGTCCCCCACACCTGGACAGGTGAAGGCGCATCAGTTCCACAATTTGGACCATCCGCTGGTCCATCAGATGCACCATCATCATCATCTGCATCATCATGCCGCAGCGGCTGCAGCAGCAGCAGCGGCTGCAGCGGCACACCATGCCCATCATCTGCTGGCAAATGGATTCGCTGCCGCCCACCATCCGCACCAGCACCAACATCCGCATCCACATGCGCATGCGCATCCGCTGGCTGCTCATCCGCATCTGCATGTGCCTGTGGCGGTGCCCGTGGCCGTGCCAGTGCCAGCAGTGCATCCCCACCAGCAACAGCAACAGCAGCAGTCGCAGCCGCAGCCGCAGCAGCAGCAGCTTCCAGCAGTCGCCAACAGCAGCAGCAGCCTGAGCAATGGCAGTGCCACAAGCAATGGCAGCAGCAGCCAAGGCTCCACTACATCCGGTGGTGTCCTGTCGGCGGCCAAAATCGTGGCCGTTGTAGCCGCCGTCGCCATGGCCAACAGCAGCAGCAGCAGCAGCAGCAGCGGCACCGGCACCGGCAGCGGCAGCGGCAGTGCCTCCATATCGACACCAACGTCAACGCCATCAGCCATCAGTGCCAACCCATTGCCATATACCCAGAGCAGCAGTAGCAGCAGCCACAGTCCTAGCGCTGCCAATGTCCAAGTGCCAACGCAAGTGCCAATCGCGGTCTCCCCGGTTGCCAGCCACATTCCACACCCACATCCACATCCGCATGCCCATCCGCATGTCCATCCCTATGCCGCTTACCACACCTACCTGCCGCACCACCACCATGCCCTGGCTGCCCAGCTCCAGGGATCCCAGGCACAGCCATCGCCAGCGGACCAACATCTGGTGCAGAGTCGCCTGGAGGCAGCCCCCACTCCGGCGCCCATGGATCTGTCGCTGGGCAGCTCCGCGCGCCGCCAGCAAAAGCTCGAGATGGAAATGGAGCTGGAGCTGGAGCACCATCGGCCGCGCACTGCTGCCGGGGTGGATCTGACCTTTAGGAAGCGCAAGGTGAACTGCACGCCCGTGCAGCCGGACAAGATCAGCAAGCTGGAGACGATCAAGAGCGAGCCGGAGCCAGAGCCAGAGCAGCAGCCGGAGCAGGAGAGCGAGGATGTCGATGTCGATGTGGAGGTCGAGGCTGAGGCGGAGCACGAGCGCAAGCTCCCCTCCAAGCAGGTGAAACTCTTTAAGCCGTATCTGCTGGACGATGACGATGATGCCGCCGCCGGCGCTGGGGATTCGGAGGAGGCTGATGAGGTGGATGCCCACGAGGAGGAGGATGATCGCATTGTCGGGGACGACGATGACGAGGCGGTCGAGGGCGATGCCGATGAGGATCAGCACGAGGATCTGAATGGCAAGAAGCAGCAGCGTCGCCTCAAGAAAAACAAGAAGGTGGGCGAACAGCGGGATCCCATTATCTGGAGCAATCATCCGTATCCGGCCTGCCTCTCGCCCTCCCCCCACGCCCGGAGCTCGCTCTCCGGCAGCAGCTTTCAGTCGCCGCTGGTCATGCACCTGCAGGCAGCGTCGAATGGCAGCGGTAGCGGCTCTCCAGTGTCCTGCCAGCTGCAGACATTTCCCGGCAGCTCCCTCGTCGGGAGTCCTCAGCACCAGTTTCAGAGCAGAAGCGGCAGTGGCAGCGGCAGCAAGACATCCACGCCCATCCAGAGCGTCCTCAGCCCGTTCTCGGCACCGGCCCTCTCCCCCACCGGCTTCTGCTGTCCCAAGGGCTCCCCCGTGTCCGGCTACGAGAGCAGCTCCTCCACCTACAGCGACAGTGCCAGCAGCAGCAGCAGGACTTGCGGCGCCACCACAGGCAGTGCCAGCAATTTCAGCCTCAATCTGCAGCTCCATGCCGCCGTCTACAACGACAACCTGATGTACATCCAGCCGCAGCAGCATCAGCAGCAGCAGGCGCACCTTCAACGCTGGCTGGATCAGGATGCTTTGGCCGCTGCCATGGCCGCCAGCAGCCATCATCCGGCGGTGCAGGTGCTGCAGGCAATGCCCGGGACAAGGCCAACATCCAACACGGCAGCCTCAACGGCGACAAATCTGACATTGGTGGCATAAGCAGCAACAGACGGAGTTGAGGAGCAGCGGGTGTGCGGAGCTGAGATCCCACCAAGAAGTTATGGCAGTCACTGGGCCTGGCCTTCCTAGCGTTAAACAATTACCACATAATACACATTTTCTTTATGAGTTTAAGCGAACTTCGTTCTTCAGTTATTTGATAAGGTTTTCAAGAAAGAGGACCCAGGGGACATCCACATAGACATCCTATTGCCCCAACCCAACCCATAAAATATATATCATATATCTTCCAAGCATATCAGAACCCCCCACCTAATCTCTAAGGATATAGCATATAGATAATTTTTTTTTGCTCTAAGTTTAAGAACAAATTTAGTTTAAGCAAAAATGGATATTTTTTTTTTTTTTGTCATTAAACCTTGAACAATGGTCTATAAAATATATATATATATATATATTTTTTTTTTTTTTTAATAATTTTAGAAATTTAATTTAATGTTAAATTTAAAACCCTTTTTATGTAAGCGTCGGAAAGTGTAAATAATTAATTATATTGTGTACAAAATCGGGTAGCAGACGGCGAAGAAGGCGCGCCGGAACATATTAATTTTGTCGCCCCAAGAATTTCAAAAACAAAAATAAGAGGGTAGGCGGAAGGAAACGAGAGCGAAAATTGTGAAACTGCAACTGGAAAAACTGAAAGAATAAAATTGTTAATAGTAAAGCTTTAAAAACAACACACACACACACTTTTACACACCAAACAAACACACACACACACACACAACGCACGCGTACAGAGCTCTTATGTGTAAGGGTTTTGTTTTTTTTTTTTCTTTTGGAAAATAAGAAATTGAAAATTCTTGTGATATACAAAACAAAAATACAAAATTTAATAAAAACATAAATAAAACGAAACTGTTGAAAACTGAAGCTTAATGAATTACATATAGATATACAAATATATATATTTACACCCAACCACAACAACAAATGAGAGCCAGAACATTAGATATATATATATATATATATTATATTATATATATATAAATAGTTACGGAATTACAATTAAAATTCATAATAATTATATACAATATACATGCATACTTATATACAATATATTTATATACAACGACAGAGGAAAAAAATTAATAAGGAAATGTTTTTTTTTTTTGTGAGTGCAACAATGGGATATCTTTTTAAGGAAACCTATTTAAATGCCTAGATATACATATATTAACATACAATCTATATATATATATAAAAATCAGTATTTTTATATATAAAATTTGACAAGAGAGCAACAACAACAATAACAATAATAATAATTGTAACAATTTGTGACCATAAGCAGCAGCAACAACAAACAGAGCAATGAACCAGAAAAACTACCAACAAAACAATGAAAAATGAATTGATTAAAAATTAACAAGGAAAAATGAAAAAAAAAACTTACAAAAAAATTAAACTTGTTTTCTCATTGGATAGTCGCGGCTGGGCGATATCTACGGGGGGTATCTATGGGAGTGGCTTAGTGGAAATATTCAACCAAAGTCCTTACTAAAATGCAGAAATCACAACTGACGTTGCAGTTGTTGGCCTAAAAGTCACTAAAGAGGAATTCGAGTTCCAAAGAGATCTTCAATTGGTCGAATTTTCAGATGCCCAAGCTCCCAACGATCAGTATTAATACATTTTAAAAGTGAATTCCTGTTTCATAGAAATCGTATGGACTTTTCTTATGATTAAATGCGGATTTTTGTATGAAAAATATTTTCTTTTTAGTTCAAACAATGCAAAGGATCGATATAAAACTCTGTTTTCATGATTAGTTTTGGGAAACTAAAATATTACAGCCGTTCACTGCACTGACAGATCCTAAATTTATTTAAATCAGTACACAGGGTCTATAAAAAAAGTCAATATGTTGGGTCCAAAGAGTCCCTGTAATCGCAATTGAAACCACAGTTTAAATAATAAGTTTTTCGGGTTTATGTGTACCACAAAGATTATTCCTTATTATACTAATGGAAGGAGGAGAAGTTCAGGCAGATGTCTGAGAAGAGTTCTCTCATTACTGAATCAAGGAAAGGATAAAAGCAATGCTTAAAAGCATGATCCTCGATTGTTAATTTTAAGCCCTCTTCCAGCTGATGCTGAAAGGTACAAGTTTTTCCTTTTTAATTTTACTCTAATGTTAGGGATAGGTCCAAGGGTTCCCTAAAAGTAGTCGTAAAACATGACCACGAAACGGGCATGTTCGCAGGGCCAATTTCTATGTAGAATGAAATCTGAAATTGTCCCCCAAATGATGAAAAAAGGTAACGGAAAATGAAAAGTTATAGTTGAAAAGCTTAATAAAAGACTCACTTACCATTGGAAATAGGCGCAGGACGGGCAGTCCTATAGGGGCACTATAGATCTTCGGCAAACCAGAACAACTTCTTGGGGATCATCACAATTAAGCAAAAGATTCGATTTCCATTTCTTCTATATTAACCCTTCTAGCTCTAAGCAAATAAATAGTTTTAAAATTGCATTTTGTAGAAAGGTGTGCGGCTCTACTCGTATCTGAGCACGCGTGGTGTAAGTGATTGGGAAACTATCTGTATCTGCCACAAAACCATCTTCAGGCCGTGAACATTTCTGGTTGTACTCGAACATAGAAAACTCTAAAGAAAATTACTAATCAAATCCAATGGACAGGACACGTACGTGATGGATGTCTTAATGTCAAGTGTCTGGATTATTTGGATCATCATTTGTATGATGATTAAGTGAGGTTAGGCGCGCATTTAAATGTAGAACCCAAACGCTGTTTGATCTTTCACGGCACACAATGTTTTCAATTTCAAATAAATGTACATACTTACTATCACATTGTGACAACTCATGCCCATAGGCCAGAGCTTTAAGGCTTTTGGGAGACTTTCACCATACACCCCTATCCACCCACAGGTCCCGGTCACCCGGTCACCCGCCCCCCCTCCCATCCCACCCACCGTTGCGTTCCGTTCGGTTCCGTCCCGCCACGACTTGGTTCTGGTCAAATCGCTTGGCACATTTTGGCTATGCTGCCGCAGCGGGGTATGACTAAGCCGCAAATTCTATAATGATCGTATTTTTAAAACGTTTAAAAATAAAGTGCTCTCGTTTGCCAATGTGTGCGCCAATCACGAGCCCCGAGCCACCACACCACCACACCACCACAAGCAGCATCAACAGAATCAGCATCAGCATCAGCACCACGATCGGCACCACGAGAACGAACCACCATCACACAGCGTACCGTCGCTGCCGACACCGCCGCAAGCGAACGAGAGGCATACTCATTGTTTTTTACGCGATGTTTTTCCCTTTTTGCATTGTACAATTTCTTGGTAGGGAAGGCAAAAAAAAAAAAAAACCCCAAAACCCAACTAGATCCCCGAGCATAGAGTATCCACAGTCACAGCGATCGTTGCCAAAGAATTTTTGCGACATTTTGCGACCGGACGGGCGGAGGGACAAACGTACGGGAGGGATACCCCTGCCTAGAGAAAGGGTATAGCAAAGGGGAGGGGGATATCGAGATTCGGATTGTATCGTATCGGATCTGCATGTGATTTCCTCGTTCAGGTGATCGTTCCCACGTAGTCAATGATCTTAGAACGGGTGGGAAAGAGAAACATTGAGATGAGGAGGAACACCTTTGGCGGAGAAACAAAATGGTGAAGGGGAATATAGAAAGGTGGAACGCAAGGTTGAATGGGAAAGGTACAAAATGGTAAGTAAGTAGATTAACTGTAAAGAAAATAATTGAGGAGTAGAGAAGCGTGAAGATGCTCCCCTAAATGATGTGCAACAGGGAGAAGATGAACTGAAAGAGGTGAAATATATGGAAGTGGAACACACATGGAAAAGGATGCCAGATTATGTAAAGAATTAAAAAATATGATCAATGACGAACAATTGGAATTTTCAATTGAAATCAAAACAGCGGAGACATGGAAACAAAGGGGAGAAGGAAAGGCAAGGGACTTACAGAAACAGAGAGAAGGTACAAGGGTTGGAAGACTTGGAATGTAAAAGAACGAAACAAATTAAAGAACCACTGTGAAATGTAACAGAGACAGATAAAACGAGAAGGAACGTGTGAGTCGCTTCTGTGGACGCGACTCTACATTTATACCCGTACTTAGTCAGTATATACATTTTTGAGCTTATGATTTATGTAGATTTTTATTAAATTTAAAATTTTTTTTTGCTACATCGGTTATATACATATACATCTACAATGTAGATTTACAATGTATACATCTTCTCCGCAAAGGGCTGAGTGTGTGCGAGCGAGAAAGAGAATGAGTAGCGTGATCTCGTGCTGGAGGACGTTGGGGAAACAACTGAAAATTGTAACGATTCCTTCTCTGCGTTGCACACATCCACTTTTACCACTAATCTAATATACCCCTTAACCCTTTTTGAGTACGGGTATAAAAAGCCCACACGTGAAAACCGAGGAATAGAGAGAGTGAAACCGTTTCAGGGGAATGGGGGGAGTGGAACAAATTAAAGGAATGGTAAACGGTGAACGGTTTGCGGGTGAGTGTGGGGGTGGGGGTGATAGAACAACCAACAACAACCATAGAAAATTGCAAAATTTCGATTTATTTTCGTTTTGGTGCTGCGCGCTTCGTTCCGCGTTGCCGTGTCAACTTTTTCTCGCCTTTTTCGTTTTGCTGTACGGCTACTGTACCTGTTGTTGTTGTTGTTGTTGCTGTAGATCCAAGCCACGTGACAATTTTCGATTGCTCGTATGGTACCCCACAGAAATATATATTTTGACTTACATCAACGTCAACCGCCGCATCAGCATCACAGCATCAGCATCCACAACAGGGGCATGCAGCCAAAGTTTACAAAGTAACGCAGAGAGGGGACGTGGGATAATGGTACGTGGGACGTGACACCTGAGTCCCCCCAGTCTCGAGTGCATTGCAGATGGCGATCGTCTATTTCTATATACATACATATGTACATATCTATGTATATGTATACGTTTGATACCTATTTGTTGAATATTGTTTGTTATTGATCAAGCAGGTTCTGGTTCTTTGATGTGATGCGATGTGATGTGATGTTGTAACCAGGCGAACCATTGTCGAGCGATTTCACAGACGATCGTGACATAATCTGTTATATGAATTCCTACATTTCGCGCAGATTCTTCTAAAAGAGATTGTGAAATACGAGTGTTGCTAAAGGTGTGCTACTATAGGGCAAACAATCTGCCCATATCTGCCTACATTGTAAGTAGAAATGCTCCAAGTGATCCTCATATCTTTATCAACTAAAACACCACCAAGATCAGTGTAAAGATCAATCAGATTCCCAACGATACTCCAAACGTTCTCTGACAGAGCTATCGCCCAAGGGATCGGATCCATCAATGTT